CAGCCACTCCTCGGAAGGAAGGTTGGGCAATCCTACTTCTGTAGTGATACTGCCTCGGAAACCCAAGGAGGGGTCGCTATGAGTCAGGTTTGACTCGATGGCAAACAACAACAACAACAAACACTTAGAATAAAAGCCAACTCCTCACCATGGCAGGTGAGACCCTACCAGATCCATCCCATACCTACCTAACCCTGTAAAATCATCCACCAGCACTTACCTGTGGCCTTCTGTTAAGGACTGAATGTGGTGCTAGGATGCCAACCTGTGGATGCCATCTAATCTACTGTAACGCAATCACTTTCCTCAGTGCGATGTGACTGACCACTCAGCTCACACCAGTGCTGGAAGGTCCTAAACCACTTCTGAGTTACAGAAGGAACAGAACAGACACAAGCCAGCCCGGGAGGATCACCAAGGGACTGAGGAACGCCAGGGCCACCAAAGCTGAAAGGCTCTCCCTGAAGTGGGACGTCCAGCCTCCTGAACTGCGAGGCAAACTTGTTCTTCTCTGAAGCCTCTGCTTGTGCTAATCCCAGAACAGCAGCACTGGGACCCTCACACACCTTCTGGAGTCCTCCTGGAGACATGGAGTTCCCAGGAAGACCCAACCCCGCTGACACCTTGATTGCAGACTTCTGTGACAGTAGACATTTCTGTTGTCTTACCTAGTCTGTGGTACTTTGGGCAGCCCTAGGAAACTAAGACAAGATCAAAGCAGGTTTTGGCCATCGCCGTATCCATAGGACCTAGAGTACTTCCTGGCATCCAATGGGTGCTCGAGTATGTGCTGCTAACCGCAGCTGCAGGCACTAGCGTCCTTTGTATTCGCTTCCTTTGCAGCTGTAGCAAATTTCCACAAACTTAGTGCCTGAGCAACACAGATACATTTTCTTACAGTTCCGGAGATCAGAAGCCTAGTCATGGGCTCACGGGGTCAGGGCTGTATTTTCTGGAGATTTTACGGGAGAATGTGTTTCTTGCCGAGGCCACCTGCATTCATTCCATGGCTGGAGGTCCTCCCTCAAGAACTGCCTGGGACAGACTCGGGAACAGGAAAAGCAAGCCCTCAGGGCATCAGTTTCTGCCGGCTCTTCCTCCTGGGAGTCACCTGGTCTCTTCTCTCTGATCATCCACTCTGGGTTCTTGCTCTTTCCGGAGATCAATGCTCCCGCCTTAGCACCAAACCAAAACCAAACCCACTGCTGTCGAGTCGATTTCTGCTCACCGTGAGCCTACAGGGCACGGGAGAACTGCTCCACAGAACTTCCAAAGCTGTAAGTCTTTACAGAAGTAGACGGCCTCATCTTCTTCCTGTGGAATGGCTGGTGGGCTTGAACCGCTGACCTTCTGGTTAGCAGCCAAATGCTTTAACCACCGTGCCATCAGAGCTCCTCCCACCTCCGCACACACACACAGACAAACGTGACTGCTCCAGTGGAGAGAGCAGCAAGAGTCTCCACAACTCTCTTTGAATAATGTCATTTCCTTTCAGGTCTCAGGTCTTGAACGCTGCAACTGAGGATTCTTCTTGCCAGGTCTGATCTTCCTGATCTTGACACACAATTAACTTGCATTCCACTCAGATCTTTCAAAACCCAGTTTCATCTTACCCGGAAGTTAGTCATTATGTAAACTCTACCTGGCTCATCCAGTAGAGGAGAGAGAGGGGAGGAAGGAGAAAAGGGGGAGGGCCTGCCTGGAAATCTAGCCTCACAATCACCAGAGTTCTGATTAACAGAGAAGCTGGATGCTAGGATAATGGGGGAAATGACACCAGTTAGACGAAGCCAGACAGAATGAAAAAACGAACGTATCTCAGAATTTATGTCCTAAGATAGTGCTTAAAGATGCATCACATATAGCTACAACAACAAAGAATTTATAGCTGGATGAGGTCTCAAAGTCTCTGACCTCCTCCCTCATTTGGTAACTGAGAAGTTGAATGACCTGCCCAAAGCCACACAACTAGTGAGGCTCAGCGCCCAAGTAAGACCTCTGGGATCCTGACTCCTAACCCTCTCCACCCTGTCAACGAACATTTCACTCCTGCAGTAGTGGTACTTACAAAGCTGGCGGCCTTACCAAGGGGCATAATGGAGAGGTATTTGCCTCGGAACTTGCTGGTGATCTTGATCTCCTGACGTAGCGTCCAGCCATTTTTGGACTCAGCATGGTGTGCAGCAGCAGGGGGATGATGACTCACCTGCAGGAATGAAGGTGAGTCAGGGATTCGAATGAAGGCGGGAGAAAAGGAGAAGGCAAAGTTGCCGACACCAAACCCGAACCCACTGCAGCACCTGCGGCTTGCATACCCACTACGGCAGTCTTTGAGACCACGTTCTGAAGGGAAAGGCGGCAGGCTGGGATGACGGGGACTCCAAGTTTTACCAACGTTAACACCCACGAGGATCAAGCACAGTCACCCCTCTCTTCTAACAGGAAATGTGTTGAGTCCCCAGGCCTCTTTACCTGCTCACAGAGGGATCGGTACCCATTCTCCTCCAAGCGGTCCAGCTCGAAGGTCTCCCCGAGGAGCGGGTTGAATGGCTTGCTGGTGCGGAAGACAGTGGTGGAGTAGGAGGACACGGTGAAAGCTGCAACGTAACAGAGCTGTTCTAGAGAGTTCTCACACTTTGCAGCTCGGTCTAACAGCTCATGGTACTCCAGATCCTCAGTAAGGCGCTGGAGCATGGACAAGGGCTCGTTAAAGTTCACCTGCCAGGAAAAGAACAGACATAAAAGCTCTGCCCACATCCCTTTACAACACAGGTGCTTCTTCCTCCTCTTCTTTGCAAGGAGAGAAACAGATACTAAGCTGGTGAGATAATAAATCAAATCACTGGGAAGAAAAGAGGCCTTTACTCAGTACAGAAACTCAAAGTTTTGACTGGCAAGCGACCCATCCTTCCCTTGTTAAGTGTCCATGTCAGGGGGGCAGCAGAAATCTGTTTTCATTTCTTTTGCGTCCTGTGAGCTCTGTGAGATGGACACTACACTCCTCCACGCATCATTCATTCCTGAGAGCCACTGGCCCGTAGGGGACCATCACCAAGTACATGTTGCATGAATGACTAAAAGAAAATATATTTTAGCATAAGTATACCCAGAAAAAGGAGCGCTGGTGGCACAGTGCCTAAGGCATTTGACTGCTAACCAGGAGGTTGGTGGTTCAAACCCACCAGCCGCTCTGTGGAAGGATGATAAGGTAATCAACTTCCGTCAAGATTTACTGCCTTAGAAACCCTCTGGGTGAAACGGAGCCCTGGTGGTGCAGTATTTAAAGCACTCATCTGCCAACCAAAAACCTCAGCAGTTCAAACACACCAGCCGCTCCACTAAAGAAAGATGAGGCAGTCCACTTCCAAGAAGACTTATAAGCCCCGGAAACCCTGTGAAGCAGCTCTACTGTCCTATAGGGATGCTTGAGTTGGAATCGACTTGATGGCAGTGGCTTTGGGCTTTTGTATGTCCAGAAAGCAAGGCTGGTTTTGAAAATCCTTGGGGGAAGGAAAGAGGAGTACCAAATTCTAAGTACAGGAGTCACACGACTGCATTAGTAGCTTCTCTTAGACCAGAGGACTGTTAACTCACAGTTGAGGTTTACGTCAGGCCATGGCTCTGGTTGCTTCCAGAAGTGTCTGGGCCTGAGTGCTCACAAGGGCCAGGGAGCCTGCGAGGGCACCGACCTTTCAAGTTTTACGTACATCTTAGGTGACTTAACACCAGATGTAGCCAGTGTATGTTGGTACGCAGGCTTCTGTCCAGGGAGAAGATGTCCGCTCGCTCATCTATTCATTTATTCATTTCACAAGCATTTATGGAGTCCTTATGTATGTCAGGCCCTATGCTATCCACTGGGTGTAGAGAAGTAAACAAAAGGTCTCCGCCCACTGCCCCCTAGAATTAGCCTCTCTACTGACCGGTATTAGAATTGGCTTTATAACTTTACAAAGTGTTACAGAAAGAAGTCAGGCTCCCTGGCTGGCCCATCAAGCTTATTTCATCAACAGGATAGCTGACCAAGCCTGAGTTTTGAGTCGACATCACTGAGGAGGAAACCAATTTCCTTTCTATTGAATAGAGCTGGCCTTATGCAGTATTTTCGGTAAAACACTTTTTTCTTTGCTAGTCTCACCTTTGCTGTTGCATTTCTGGCCGGCCTCCTAACCAGCAATCCCTGAGCTGCGCGCTGATGCTGCTGGTAGCTGCCCTCAAGCTGGCTCTGACTCATGGCGACCTTACGTGTTAACCGAAAGAAACACTGCCCAGGTCTGCCCCAGCTCCACAACTGTCAGCATTTCTGAGTCCACTGTTGAGCGACACACCACCCTAATATTCACTGTCCCTCCCCAATTACAGAATTAATCTCCTGTCACTGCAATGAACTTTGAAAACGAAGTATAAAGGAGAAAAATCTCCTGACATCTTTGGAACGACCACTCAAGGATAGCCGTTACTAACATTGTCATATTTGTTTCTACACTTCCACATTTTAAAAGATAAACTATACCACAGAGCCTGCTTCTTCTGTGAAAAATACACCAAGCGTTTCTCTGTGAACATTTCCCTGAGAAGACAGAGCTGCAGGGCCAACGTTAGGGAACTCCCCTTTGGGAAGTAGGATCTACCCTACCTTAATCCAAACACCATACCAAACTCCAAAACCGACACCTCTTTACAATGAGAAAAAAGCGGTACACTAAGACAAAAATGCACCCCGAGGGGTGACAGGCTGACAACGCCCTGCTCCTCAAGAGCACGTTTAAAGAGAGTGCTTATGAATTCCACCAGTGAAGTCGCTAATGGGTAGAATTTCAGGCATGAAATGTGATGTTTCCACCCATTTTGAGGAAGCCCGGGGAGGTGGGGTGTGCTCCATCGGGGGTTACTGCACACATCAGCCCTGCCCCTGACTTGATCAGCCCGTCCTTGGCCCGTGACTGCTTGTGGATCCCTCATCCCCCACAACAGTTCCAGGAACACTGTTTCTCTACCACTGCCAGGTTTTTTATAACAGTCATTCTGTCAGAAGCCTAACAGGAAAACAAGTGACTCTGAACATTTAAAACAAAAGGACACAGGGAATTAATTACACAGCTGATGGAGAGTTGAGCAGTCAAAAAAGACAGCCTAGAGACTGGCAAGAGCAGGAAGACAGAATGACCGGTAGGCTGGAGGGACAGACAAGCAGTGGGATGACAGCAGCCTGGCTGTGGGTTTCTAGGATAAGCTAGAAATTCATGGGGCCTCTCTAGTGGGAACTGAAGCCGCACAGCTGCTGCCAGGGTGCTACCCAGTGGGACCAGAGGGGAAGGTATACCCTGGGGTCTCTCTCCTCCTCCCTGCTCCCATTTCCTAGCAGGGCCGCACACTGGCAGAGCCCAGGCAGATGCCAGCAGGCAGAGAGGCTGGAGAACCACAGCTTCGAGGGATCTGCTTTGCAGCGCCAGAGCACAGGGCAGGGAGGGCACTGCTCTGGCGGCAACAGGCACAGGACTCGCACACTCCTGGAGGCAACGTCAACGGAAACAAGAGGCAGAGGAGGACAGAGAGGTCACCTAGATCCAGAGCTGTTTCTAAGCAGGCACTGCGTCTCCAAGGCTCCGACGACCTGTCCTTCCACCCTGGTCTCTCCTACTTCCCTTGCGGCACCTAGTACTCTCGGCTGGCAGGGCCGCTTCTCAGGACCCCAGTGAACTAATGACTTTATCCTCTCCACTGCGCTTACTAATGGCCTTTTCTTTTTTAGAGCATCAACTTTTTTCTAACAAAAATCCCACGTTTACAATTTATACAGGAACCTGTTCATTCTCCAAGATGCACTTCATCCGTTAATGAGTTCAACATTTGCTGAATGACACGTATGTGCCAGGCACTGAGCTAAGCACCAAGGATATAAAGACCGACAAGAAAAGTCCCTGCCTGCAAAGAATACAGTCTACTGAGAGGGCGTAACCACACACGGTCCATAAGCCCCGAGAGGCAGGGAGAATGCTTTCTGTATTCCTGTATGGCAAGAACCTGGCTGTAAGCAAACCTGCTAGCCATTTCCCACTATGCCTTCCTCCCTTCTTCTACAATAAACTAAACCAAACAGGTTGTTATCAAGTCAATTCCCACTCACAGCAACTGTGTAGGATAGAGGTAGAACTGCTTCACTAGGTTTCCAAGGCAGTAATCTTTACAGAAGTAGACTACCACGTCTTTCTCCTGCAAAGCAGCTGATGGGTTTGAACCACCAACCTTTCAGTAAAAAGCCAAGCCTTTAACCACTGTACAACCAGGGCTCCTTGTTCTCACAATAGAACCTCCAGGATGCAAGCAGGCCATGCCACTTCCAGCCTCTTCTCCAGCTAGCTGTGGCCACGTAACTGAGATCTGACTAAGAAGACTTAAATGGAATTGGCTTATGTAATGTCCAGGAAGTGCCCTTCTTGGTCTCTCCCAGCTGAGCATGCCCTTCATCTCAGTCTGACTTGGATGAGACCGAGGGGTCACGCAGAGCAGCTACCACAGACCTGGGAGCTGAAGCCACAGGCGGCAGAACCGCAGGAAGGACAGGAGCCCGATCCTGACCCTGGACCACCCACCCCTGGACTTTAACATGACAGTGAGTGAAGCCCTTTTCCTTCTTCTATAAAGGGCTTGACAGCAAATATTTAGGCATGGAGGCACACACAATCTCTACCATAGCTACTTACTCTGCCAATATGAGGTAAAAGTAGCCACACACAGTATGTAAATGAATGAGCACGGCTGTTCCGAGTTTCTAGGCACTAACATCTGAACGTCACATAACTTTCCTAGGTCACAAAGTATGAATCTTTTGATAGTTTTCAAGCATTTAAAAATATGAAATCCATTCTTAGCCTGGGGGCTGTACAAGCTGGATGGCAGTGAGAATTAGTCTCAGGGCCACAGTCCGCCAACCTCTGGTTTAAGGAAAAGGAGCTCTGCTGGCACAGTTGTTGAGGCATTCGGCTGCTATCAGAAGGTCAATGGTTTGAACCCACCAGCTACTCCATGGGAGAAAGGTGAGGCAGTCTGGTCTGTAAAGATTTACAGCTTTGGAAACCCTATGGGGCAGTTCTATCCTCTCCAGTAGGTAACTCTGAGTCAGAACCAATTTGATGCTAGTGGGGTAGGGGTTTAGGGAAATGTATTTTGTATCTGTTCCTTGAACTTATATCTGATACACAGCACCAGGCAGATAACTGTTGTTGTTGTTGTTGTTATATGCCATAGAGTCAGACCCGACTCAAAGCAACCCCTCCTTGGGTTTCCGAGGCAATATCACTACGGAAGCAGACTGCCCCATCCTCCTTCCGAGGAGTGGCTGGTGGGTTTGAACTGTCAACCTTCTGGTTAGCAGTCAAGTGCCTTAGGCACTACACTATCAGAGCTCCTACGGCAGATAATGGGCACTCAATAAATGTTTGGGAAATGAATAAACAAGTGAGGTACACTGTCCAGGCAGAAATGATGGAACTTGTCGGAGCACAGCGGAGACATCTCATCCTGCCTGGATGTACCAGTGAAGGGTTACTAGAGGAGACAACAGTGTGGCTGAATTCCAAAGGAAAGGTGTTGGCCACGCAAGAGAAAGTGGCAAGGATGGGTGAAGAGTGGAGAAGGAATTATGACAGAAAGAGCAGTGTGTGCAAACACCCGAGGGAAAGGACAAGATGCCTCTGAGTACCTGAACGGAACTCACCAAGAGACGAGAGCACAGGATGTGGGGCGGAGCTACACCCTGAGGGCAAAGCACCCAGCCTGGGAACGAGTCTGGACCTTCCTCAAAGCCAGAGGAATCAGGAATGATTTTAAGCTAGGGACTGACATGACACCTGCAATTTGAAACAAAAATGCTCTGGCAACAGTGTGAGCAGGTCAAAAGGCAACAAGACTAGTGGCGGGGAGGTCAGCCCAAACACCACCTTCAGCATGGAGAAGGTTCCCATTTCCTGGCTGGGATGAATGGTTTCTGTGTCTCCCCCATCCTCTGCGTGTATGCTATTTCCCATAACTCTGTAACAGGAAGGCATGTTTTCTACCTATTTTCATATGTTTCCTTTAAGCTACACTCTTTAAAGTACAGAAACTAGGCCTTAGTTACCTTTGCACACCCCACTACATCTAGCACAGCAATTTGCTCACAAACATTAGTGAACAAAAGCACCTGATTCTACGCGATCTGGGAACACACCAGACACAGGGGCAAAATTAAAGCAGCTAATGTGAAGGGACAGTGTAAGATGACATGGGTAATGAAGACCGTGTCACAGCGCCACACAGTGGGTAGGGCTGGCACACCAGCACTCCTCCCGCTTGGGCCCGTGAGGACCTCCGGGCACTGGTCCGGGCGTGCAAGACCCTCACCGGCATGGGGATCTTCGAGAGTTCTTTTCCAATGCAGTTCTTCATGATGCTCCACAGATTGAGGCTGTAGTTTGGCTTGTAGGGTATTCGAGTTCTCTTTTCCTTCTTGGTCTCCTCCAGCTGATGCTTGTACTGAAGGCAAAAGCAAAACCATTCAGTCACCCAGAAAGAACCGAAAACATGGTATTTACAACCCTTCCCTTCCCCGTGCTGAACACTGTGCTTTTCTGTCTTAACTCTTTACAAGCAAATCCTTGGGAATCACACACACCGAGCTGTGACCCCTGACAACCTCCACAGAGGAGCTACCTGTTCATCAAGGCTGATGTCGCTACTGGCTCCACTGATATTGCTGCCGGTGCGTCTGCACGAACGGGAGGGGAGTGAGAATTAGAACAAAGCTCAGACGAGAGAATGGGTTCTAGACATTTCTTTGCAAAGCAGAATGCCAAGCACACTGCATAAACCCATGTTAACGGATGACCAAAGGACAACACTTAGAATATGCAGGAATTGAAACATCTCTGGAAAATGTGTTCATGTAAACAAGCGGACAGTTTTCCACTTACTCGAGGGCAAGAGCCCACATCATCTGTCAACACTGACAACCACGACACTCCCACTTAAGTGTTTCTAACCTTCAGATGGGCAGATCTATTCATTTTCTTCAGCAGTCGAGGAAAACTTACTTGTGGCCCAAATTCTCAGGCATGGTGATGATCTCAGGAGCATCAAAAAATTCATTCTCCTCATCCTCGTCACTCACGTCCCCTTTGCCAGAGCAGCACTGATCTACGGGGAGAGAAGCCTCGCTCGCTCACCTGGGCTGTGTGGCGCAAACGCCCGGCACAGGGAGCTCTACTGCCACTAACACAGCAACAGACAGTGCAAAGCATGGAGAGGCCCGAATGAAGAAACTGGTCCAATTCCAGTTCAGGGAAGCCACTGATTCCGGAGAGCGTGGATTTCTTCTATCGAGTGCAGACCACCATCCAGCCCAGAACCAGCCCCCCAAGGACTCGGCATCTTACCTTTACCAGAGCCTGTGCGGCCAGGAGTGTTGGCCGGCAGCACCGTGGCCCCTCGGAAGGCCCTCTCCAGGTGGTTGTGCTGCTTAGCCAGCTGCTCGAGGGTCTCTTCCAGCCGGATGCGCTGGTCTCTTTCGTACTGTAGTGACTTCTGCCATTTTTTGCTATGAGTCTGGGCTAACATGAGGAAGTCTCTGCAGGCCTGTTGGGGGAAAGCATAGACACGTGTCTCCTCAACTCAACCTGTCACAGATTCCCCTCAGGCCACTGTCAGTCTGTTCAATAATCTTATTCTGGAAACTTTCACTGGAAAATTACAATGAGAGGCTCTGTCAGTTACTCAACAGTATCCGAGACAGTGAACTCCGTGCTGTGGCCAAGGTCAGACTCAGAAGAAAGTGTACATGGTTGTCATGGTTCTTTTATATTTTCCTGGTCGTAAGAACCAAACAAATGCCAAGGGAGCAGTAAACCTAGACAAAGTAATGTGGTAGCAACACAAAGGGCAAGTATGTGAACGGCACCAAAAGTCAAAATCTGTTGACTGAAAAAACCAAACCAAACCAAACCCACTGCCATCAAGTTGATTCTGACTCACAGCGACCTCCACTGGGTTTCCAAGGTGGTAAATCTTTACGGAAACAGATTGCCTCATTTCCCTTCCACAGAGCAGCTGGTGAGTTTGAACCGCCAAACTTCTGGTTAGCAGTCAAATGCCTTAGGCATTGGACCACAAGAGCTCTTGGAGAGGGAGGATAAACTCAGCTCAAACTGCCATGGAGTCAAATCCGACTCATAGCGACCCTTTCTTGGGCTTCCCAGGCGGGATCTCTACAGAAGTAGATTGCCCAACCTTCCTTCCGAGGAGCAGCTGGTGGGTTTGAACCACCAGCGTTCTGGTTAGCAGTCAAGTGCCTTAGGCATTATGCTACCACAGCGCCCTGCTGACTGAAAGGAAGAGGAAAAAAAGCCCGGGATAGCTACTTTTGATAAAGCCTTTAGTAGCTTGAAGTCTAGGCTAAAGACTTGATTTTGTTACTCAACTTTTTTTTTTTTTTTTTTA